AAATACAAGTTTCCTCTAGTTCCTAAATGCTTCCTCCCTCCCCCTACTATCATTATCCCAATTCTACCTTACAAATCTGGCTAGACCAGAGGATGTACACTGGTGGAGATAGGAACTGGAAGGGGGTGGTCTGCGGAAGGCATACTGCATAGTAAGGAACATACAGCAGATAATCATTTAATGAAAAACCAAGAATGCAGCATGTTAAAAATGTCCTTTGCACTTACTAAATTATCGGAGGTGCAAGCAACTTTAAAGAAAATCTGACAGGTAGAAAGAAATTGAAGGTACAGTGCTAAAGGATATCCTAAACTGATAACAATGTTCTTGCTTGGAAGATGATCTTAGATACCTGAAAATAACACAAGTCCTACACGTGTTTCACCAAAAGGAGTGAAATGCAGAGAAGCATGTTTGTTAAGCAATTCCAATGGAGAAGGCAATTTGACCATCTCTATTAGAAAACAGAAAGAACTTATATAACTAGAATGAAGAAAACTTTAAAGGGTTAGGAGAATAAATGGAAACCAAAACCTTTAGAGAAACTCCAAGAGGGGAAGCTAAGGAAGCCCAATGGAGACCCATTTATGGTTGGAACTCAAGATCCACAATGGGGGTTGAGTACTGCCATAGGGAAATCCATTCTCACTCAATAGGGGAGGAATGTGCTGTATTTCTGAGGGCAGTTATGTATTCAAATTCTCTGTTTGGAGAGAGGCTTGCGAGATGGCCTTTCACAGTAAGGTAGAAGCATATAAAAGAGGAACAGTTTTGAGACTCTTAAAGAAGGAAAATTATGGAACCAAACATACAATAGTGTAAATCAAATAAATGGAAATTTAATCTCAGAAGAGCCAGAGGAGTACTTCTCTCAACTTCTAGGAAATGTAAGGTTTCACATTCAAAGAAGCACATACTTTTATGTATCTGACACCTGTGATGGGTGTGAGGCCTTCTACCAGTTGAATCAACCCTCTCAGCCAATTCCACTTAAGGTATTTTGAAACAATTCCACTGCAGCTTTTTTCTAATACAGACCACAGTTCTCCTTGCTCCAATTGAGAAAAAGCTTCTGGGGTGACAACTAGATAACCTGGTCATGACAAATTACAGAATCTTAGGCACACCAAATTAACCTAAGGTTTGTACAGCCTGCAGATGGTTGTAATTCTGGAAAAATAATGTTCAAAGGAACAAAGTAAAGGGTTTGCTCTCGAGGGTGGAAGGCTGTGCCCACTAACCCAGGACCAGAGAATGCGATCAGACTCTACCTCTTTGAGAACACCACAGACACTGCAAAGATTTTAACATATAGGATAGGAAAAGCCAATGACATGGTCAATGCCTACAGAATTCTCCTCACCAATGGAAACCAGGTTGCGATAGTTCTCCAACATCACATCCTGATATAGAGTCTTCTGAGCAGGGTTCAGGAGTAGCCATTCTTCCAAGGTGAACTTTACTGCCACATCGTTGAATGTCAGTGGTTTCTATAGGAAGAGGAATCTATTTAATGACATATTTTCCATTTGAAGATTTATTTTTAATGTTATAGTAAGGAAAGCAAAACATTAATAAAGTTGCTCTGTGATACTGCATTCCAAAATGTGTGGTAAACTGAGGACTTGGTAGAATTTGACCTTATTTTTACACTTGAAACCATGAGCAAAGAAAACCAACCCTTTTTTCAGAAAAATGTCCATTGTTCTGAGAAGGAAATGGTTTCAAATACACATTCTTCTGGCCAAATAATGTGCCCTGCCACAACAGTCCTCCATTAAGGAGTGGTCTTAAAGGAGCTACCATAATAGATTAATTATTTCTGTTCCGGCTACTTCACAATGCCTGAAGGTTATCTGTAGATTAGAGCAATCAGGTTCTATAGCCAACCCACCATAAATGTAGCAAATATCTGCAGGGGCCTAAGGGTGGATTTGAGGTCAACTAGCACTAGGTCAAGGTAGTGACTCACCTCGGTGCTTGTTTATGATGTTACCCGCTTATGATATTACCCATTGATTACATATATGCTAACAGTACGACGTGCATGCTTTATGAAAGAGTTTTAAGTTCCATTATATATGGCCATTGGAAAATACATTCACTCTCTCAGTCCTGACATGGGATGAGGAACCCCTGTGTCCCTCTGCCTGTCTTTAATATTTTCCACAATTGCAAAGCCACTCCTGAGGACCCCCGTTTGAGTGTCGGGGACCCCTGTGCCCCCCAAATAATGTAGCCACTCATAAAATTAGAAATTTTAGTAGCAGTGAAATTATCTGAATGACCCAGAAATGGCTCAGATTTATAAATCACAAAAGTAGGTAAAGACATATCTGTTTATATTAACAAACAAGTTTACAGTACATTGTGAAATGGAATGAGGAGTTCCAGCAGTACCACCAGTATAAGAGGCTCTGTACCTTCAGTGGCAATAGGTATCAGGAACAGTTCAGAAGTAGGAGGTCAAGCATACCTCAACTCTCCAACATTCCTTGTCAATTCTTACACAAGTCATTCGCTGCCTTCTGGGTTTGATAATCCATTGCTATGGCCACCAAAATCATAGATCAAAGTGGTCTATTAATGAACAAGGTACAACTTGGGATCAGGAACAAGCTATGACTCAGAACAAAGAAGAGAAAGTTGATAGGCAATATCTCCCTTCCTGAGTGCACAACAACTTTCTAAGCTCTTAGAGGCCACCTTCGGACAAGATCCTCTTGTCAACCTTAGGACAAATTCTTCCCAGCCACCTTCAGACCATATTGCCTTAACTTTAATTACAAGGTCCTCTTGGACCTGCCATCTTTCATCACCTGCTCTCCAATGGGCCCCTCCTAGTTCTGTTGCCATTGGCTCGACCTCTGGAGCCCTCCTAATTTTGCTTAGGCCGGGAAGGTGCTAGGTTGGCCCAAGAAGCCTTCATAGCAGAGCAAGAGTGAGAAAGAGAACCGGCTGCAGGTATGGTTGAGAAGAGACAGTGAGACACTGGCCTGTCATCTGACCTGTTGATTTGCTTTTGTTAGCCTCTGCAAAAACACAGCGGAAAATGAATCCATGGATTGGGGATTTGCCAGTTTCTAGAAATACATGAGCCATTTCCTTGATATCCCTGCAACTGCAAACTACCTGTGTGACCTGATTGGAGAGCTAACCCCCCCACCCCCCACTCCATGAGCCAACAGCTTGCTGTCTGACCTTTCTATTTGGGATTCCTTAGCCCCTGAACCTACTAATTGACCAGATTCAACAACTTCACCTTGTGAGGCAGTGGACTGCTGTCTGAGCTGATGATCTGGTTCATCAGCCTTTGTGAACACATTAAGGACCACAACCCTCCAAATGGATACCTGACCTGTGGATTTGGGACTCACCAGTTTCCACATCCTGAAGACTTGCTTACTTGATAGCTATTTAGTTTTGTGAGATGGTGCAGAGTAAATCATGGAACATTTTGAACCTCTACCTCACAGGGACTGGTCTACTGCTGGTCCTGCACAATGAACTGTAATATTCATGGGTAAGAGCTGTACCAATGGAGACAATGACTGGGGAAGAAGGGACAGTGACAGAGCCAATGGTGACAGGTACAGAAAGGACTTTTCAGTCAAGATAGTGGGACAGGCAGGCAAGATCAAGAGGAGGATATCCCAAAGGAGCTGAGAGGAGCCTATAGAGATGGAGTATGACATGAGCCTACCTTCAGAGGGCAAAATGTCTGAGAGGGACAGAGAGAACAGGCCTGTCCTGAAGAAGAGCAAATTTGCCAACATGGTTCTTTAATATGAATGCCAATGTGTAGCTTATTGATTCTGATACCAAATTACATTCTGTCACTGAATAAAACTTATACTGTGAGTCTGGACTGAGATTTGTACATGGCCACTGCAAAAAATTAATGAGCTGAGTAGGAGAGGACTGTGGGAAAGATAACTGGTGTCAGAACTGGAAAACCATTGGAGGGTACAGCTATGTTTAAGTTCTGTCTCATAGAAATCAGGGCTGATGTTGATGGTTGATTCTCTCTCCTTCATCGATAGTTAGAGGAGATGAGAAGCGATCAACCATTTTAAAACTACTATGGCTACAAGGCCCATTTTAGATGCATTAATGAGACAATAAAGAAACTTAATCAGACAAAAGTCCCACAGAATACTGCTGAACTCTCCTAAAGCAGTGATCTCATTTCTCCTTAAAAACTGGGCATCGCACATCATTTAATGATTCTCATGGGGTGGCCATAGAATAATAAATTATGAGTTGGAAGATAATGTCATCCAAAGAATCCACACTGATATATTATGTTCAATGTCAATAGTTTAGTTTTAATCCTATGATCAATATATTCCTAGTCTTCTCCAGCCCAGTGTTGAAGTCAGAGTCAAAGTTTGTAATTTGTACTATTTCAAATTTCCACTTTTCCAATGAACCGATTATTATACAATTCCAGTAGGAAATACAGAAAAGGATAAAAACGCATCAGAATCACCTGAGCCTTGGTCATTTTCATTGGTCCTTAGGACACTGCCGGCAACTACATGCTCTATTTTTGTCCTACGTGGATCAGCTCTAATGATGTTCACAAATTTCAATCTCAGAAATAATACTGAGGACATCCCAGAAATAATACTGCCCAAAGCAGGCACTTCTTCCTCCTTCCTCTAAGCTGCTGGTGACGCACAATCTGCAGGCTGATGAGAGAACACAATGTGAGTAATACATAACCGGAGGCCCAGATGCTGTTACTATTCTGTCCCTCTTCTCAACACAAAGTCCCCAATACTGTTAACAATATGCTTGTTGAATGATGGAAAACATACTTATACCATGAACAATAAAATCCAAAACTCTTAATTTTCAGACATGTGAGTAAAAGATGACTTTATAATAAATAGAGAATCAACCATCAAATATACATGTCAAAAGAAGGAACAAAAAAGCTGGATCCCTACCTCACAGCATACAGAACTATCGATTCCTTACTGTGTGACTCTGAAGGACAATGACAATCAATGAACCTTGAGGATGTTATGCTAATTAAAGCATCTGGAAACGTTTTAAATGGGCTATGTTAAAGAGGTATTATAAAATGGAGATTATTTTCTAGAGGAACTGTAAATTGGACAATCACTTTAGAAACACTTTAAAACTTACCATCAAGTAGAGTTAAACATATATGCAGCCAAGAGGACACAAAAGAACAGCTCTACAAAGTTTCTGAGACTATAAAGCAGTGGTTCTCAACCTGTGAGTCACGACCCCTTTGGGGTTGAACGACCCTTTCACAGGGGTCGTTCAAGACCATCAGAAAACATATTTATTTGTAATTAGAAATAAATATTTCACAATATATAATTACATAGCTTTTGTGATTAACCACTACGCTTTATGTTCAATTTTTAAAAATGACAATACATCCTACATAGCAGATATTTACATTACAATTCATAAAAGTAGCAAAATTACCGCTATTAGGTAGCAACGGAAATAATGTTATGATTGGGGGTCACCACAACATGAGGAACTGCATTAAAGGGACGCAGCATTAGGGAGGTTGAGAACCACTGTTATAAAGCCATTGACAGGCTGCTTATAGGTTCGTACCTCTGACTTTGAGATTGGCAGTCCAACTCTAAACACACGTCAAAACCAGGGCTCCATAGTAAACCCATATATCTACTGTTAGAAATTTATGAATTTTGAAATGAAGTATAAATCCCCCGCAATAGTGAGTGCACTTTTGAACCCCAAGACAAATCTCTTTTTTCATTTTTATTAAATCATTTTATTGGGGGCTCTTACATCTCTTAACACAATCCATCCATCCATCCATCCATCCATCCATCCATGTGTCAAGCACATTTGTACATTTGTTGCCATCATCACTTTCAAAGCATTTTCTTTCTACTTGGTATCAGCTAATTTTTTCCCTTCCTCCCCCATCCTCCCTCTTTCATGAACCCTTGATAATCATAAATTACTATTATTTTCATATCTTACATCGTCCACTGTCTCCCTTCAGCCACTTTTCTGTTGTTCCCCCCTGGGGGGGTGGATTATATGTCAATTATTGTGATCAATTCCCCCTTTCTGTCCCCACCTTCCCCTTACATTTGTGGTATCTCTATTCTTATTATTGGTTCTGAAGGGTTTAATCTATCCTGGATTCCCTGTGTTTCGGGCTCTTACCTATAACAGTGTACATGTTCTGGTCTAGTCAGATTTGTAAGATAGAACTGAGGTCATGATAGTGGGGGGAAAGAAGCATTAAAGAACTAGAGGAAAATCATATGTTTTATCGGTGCTATACTGCCCCGACTGGCTCATCTCTTCTTTGTGACCCTTCTATAAGGGGATGTCAAATTGTATACAAATGGGTTTTGGGTCTCCATTTCGCTCTCCCCCTCATTCAAACTGATATGAGTTTTTGTACTCGATCTTTGATGCCTGATATCTCATCCCCTCTACAGGATGGTGTACTTCTTCATGTGGGCTTTGTTGCTTCTGAGCTAGATGGCCGCCTGTTTACCTTCAAGCCTTTAAGATCCTAGATGCTATATCTTTTGATAGCCGAGCACTATCAGCTTTCTTCACCACATTTGCTATGCACCCATTTTGTCATCAGCGATCATGTCAGGAAGGTGAGCATCATGGAATGCCAGATTATTAGAACTAAGTGTTCTTGTGCTGAGAGAGTACTTGGGTAGAGGTCCAATATCCACCTGCTACCTTAATACTTAACAAATAAATATAAGTACATAGATCTATTTCCCTATCATTATATATAAATATATTTACATATGTACATCCCTATATTTAGACCTTGAGATAGTTAGTTTATTGTGCCAACCTGGCTGATAAACACGTGGGGTTAATTGAAGGGCGAAGGGATAAATGGCTCCGTGAGCCTCGCCTTTCT